CAAATATGTATAGCAAACATGCGACGTCTTAACCATTACACCACAATAGCTAGTAATATTTTCTTAACTTATCTTGCTATTTATTGTTTTGTATAAATATACAAACGCCTCCCTCTCACGCCCCTATATCTATATGCCCATAATATTTAGACCATGTTATATATAATGAACTAAACTAATAGAAAATCGTAATTTTAATTTAATTTGGCGGCGGCACTAGTTGCCCGTGCATNTTGTATAAATATACAAACGCCTCCCTCTCACGCCCCTATATCTATATGCCCATAATATTTAGACCATGTTATATATAATGAACTAAACTAATAGAAAATCGTAATTTTAATTTAATTTGGCGGCGGCACTAGTTGCCCGTGCATCGTTAGTATGATATCGGTCGACATGGCCCGACCGTTTGCTCGTAAACTAGATTGTTCTATATTCAATTCATCAAGATCCGAATAAAATACCAAATTCTTTGTATCTAGTTGTATAAATATAATAATAAAAATGGTTAAAATGCTTGACAAACCGGTACAAATGTATAATAATTTTATCGATTCAAATAATACACTGACTGTAAAGACCGGGCAAATGATTGAACGGTTTTATCAAAACACGCTGTCATTTGCCTCAACACCAGATGAGTATATGAATGGTATTTACAATAAACGCAAACAATTGCCACTAATTATGGCCAGAATTGTGTTACTATTAGTGGGCATTCGGTTTGCCGCCTCAGCGCTGGTCAACACCCGAGATATGAGGGCTTTTATGTCGGATTCAAATTATGCGTTAGGAAAGGGGCGACTCATCTCAATAATGGTTAGGCCTATTTGCGCCTTGGTCATGCTGTTTGTTGGCCTAGTGTTACAATATTTGAAATTTTACGGCAAACTTTACCTGCATGATTTAGTATACAATCTTAAATACAATAAATTCGATCCACCACTGAATCGAGATCACAACGTTAAGTTTAGCATGAAGGTAAATATGTTGGCAAAATATTGTTTATGGCCTATATTCTGGTTGCTTACGATTGTAACCGCTGCTTACGCTTTTATGGGCAACAATTGTGGCTTATTTTGATACTAACTCTGGTTTTACTATTATTCCAATCATATTCTGGAGTATTTGTTATATTTTATGGTTAATGCAATTCCACGGTATGATTGTTATAGCATTTCTTTTATGGTATTCAAGCACTACTTATTTGAAATATAAATTTCTTGAAATCAATCGGGAGATTGAGATTTGTATTCAGTATAATAACCAAAAAGTACTCATTAATGCCATTCAAAAACACCATAATATAACACTAATTGTCGATAAGTATAACATTATATTTAAATATATATTATTTGTTCTCTACTATATCGGGACGCCTGCTATTGAGATACTATTATACCTCACGTTTGCAAACGACACCAAATTTATGGCACGTTTTGTATTTGGATTTTTATTTGTAACAATTTTTGGCATTACATTTACGGTTAACTTTATGTGCATTCGGTTTACAAAACCCTCGTATAAATCACTTCCCATTTTATACTCATATATGAAATGCCGGAGTATTTCACCGAAAAATCGTATCAAACTTTTGGCATTCATAGAGAGGTTGTGTTCACACGATATTTGCTTTTATTGTTTAAACTTATTCCCAATGAGTTCTCTTGAGTTTGCATTTTATGTTTACGCCGTTGTACCCAATTATATGCTTATCCTATCATTTGTTAAATAATAATTATCTATTATTATTTATTAAATTTAACTACATGTAACTAATGGCATGATATACCTTAATAAAATTAGTACATTTAATTTCACATATTGCGTAATATTTATTTAAAATGCGAATTTAATTAATTAGTTATTTGAAATATTTAGAATAATGTAAATAAAATTTTTATATTTTTAAAGGCAGACCTTTTAGTACAATAAAAACAATTGCTTTATAATGTGTTATTTTGACTAATTTATAGATTAAGCTAAAAATAATGAGTAAAGTAAATATCAAAATATTAATTACGCTATGGCATTAATTGTATTTGTTATTATATATTAGTTATTTTAGTAACAATTACAAAATTGATTTTATGATTAAGTTTATTTCATAATCATGTTATGCTTTGACATTTAAAATATACATTATTCAGTGCAACACAACTTTCAGGACATAAGTATTGAGCAATGATTTCAAGTATTGATTTAATTATTATTAAAACTTTATAAAACTTTTAAAATTCTATCATTACATTTACATTTAAATAAATGCAAAAATAGTTGTAAATTAAAAAATTAATATTAAATTGAAAAACAGTTTGAAAAATATTCACATAAATAGCTTTATAAATAAAATTGTAAGTGAGAAAATTATAAAAACTTAACATTAAACACACAACAATAAATTCATTTCAACCTAAAACATACCAAGAGCTTTTATAAAATTAAACTACTTAACTTTAAAATACCTGTTTGTTAAACATAATGGAAATACACAGTGAACTACAATGTATTAAATTCATATGGTGTAAAACTGTAGGAACCCTAAACAATAATACCATAATCTATTAAGCCGTTTACTAACACATGTGTTAGCATTGTATTAATCAAACAAAAAAAACATACAAAATGTTTAGAAATTAATTTCAAAAAACAAAACAACAATAATTAGACATTAATTTTGTGATCAGAAAAAAATCTAAAAGCATTATTTCACATCAAGATACTATGAAATTAAACCCAGTATTAATAACACTACTATTAATACCCTGGTTATCGGGGTGTATGGCAACACTGCGGACATTATTGGAAAGGTTTATAAACAACGAGAACCTACCGGCGCGCCTACCACTGGACGGCGTGAAAGTGCACTTCTCTTATCCAAATACAAAATGGTGCGGACCCGGCAATACGGCCCAGACCTACGATGACCTAGGTGCCGATTATGAGACTGACACGTGCTGTCGCGATCATGATCATTGCGATATCAACGTGTCACAGGGCAATGTCGTGTGCGGTGTGGTTAACCCAGGCTTGTTCTCCATGTAAGTTCTTTATGTGTTAATCATATTTATTTACACATTATATTACAATTTACATTTATTTTGAAATTATATTATTCTGTTGTAATATTTAAATTAAATTAATGTAGTTTAGTAAACGACAGCTATTTATTTAATGTGGCAATAATATTCCTAGATTTACCTAGATTCAATTAGCTAGAAAAAATTATTATAAATTGAATATTCATGAACGCATTTGTGTTATGTATTTAACAAATAAAAATTAATCTAGTTTAATTATCCAAAATAATACAGAAGTAGTTGCGATTGTGACGCCCGGTTCCGGCGGTGTCTGATGTCTGTGTCGAGCCGATGGCTTTCCAGCGCTCAAACAATCGCCCGAATATACTCGTCGACTGTCCGCCGGTGTGTACTAAAAGACCCGCACATTAATCTATGTCAAATTGTGACTAGGCCATTTTGATTAATATTATTTTACATATTTATTAATTATTTTTTACACGGTATTTTTATTTATAATTATATTTAAAGGTATTTCAATAATTTGACTATAATTTGCATGTTTTCACAGCAAATAAGTAATGTTTTATTTTAGTTACAATAACTGTATTTTTAAATTGTAATTCTTAACAAATAAAATTATCATTTATACCTTTACAGTATATTAATGTAACAGTTTATCAGTTATAAATAATTTTTAAAAAATTATAATTAATAACTAGATTATTATATAAAAATCAAATTAATTGTTTTTAGATAATAACCTTCATAATCATTCCAATAACATAATCTATAATTAAACATTTAAATTTAAATTAATAAAAATTAATTTATAATGTTTGCATCAATCTCTCTCTCTCTCTCTCTCTCTCT